AGAGTTTATTAGGGCTGTTTATGAGCAACTTGGGAAATATGGAGATTTAGAGAATCAAGTTTTATGCCGTGAATATGTGGAGCAACTAGAACCAAGTATACGCTATTGTTTACACAAGATTGGTGAGTCAAATCTGCAGACTTCTGAACTTGTACACATAGGTGAAATGGAAGGGCCTGCCCTCGACCTTTTCAAAGCAAAGTTAGAGGTTAGTCATTTATTTCAAGTATTTGCTACCGTGTGCTTGCTTGATTTAGTTATTGCTCCACTGTGATCTCCATCATACTATGAGTTGCCGAGTTGGTTCTTGTGCAAGAATTGTATCCAGGGTAATTTTCATTTTCAATATATGACTTGCATTTTCTTTGCTGGCAGGCTGCTATGGCTGAGGCTAGATCTCAGCAGGCTGCATCCATGACAGAATTCACTTGGCTTGGCCATAGGTTTCCAATTTCAAATGCAAAAACAAGAGTTTCTATATTAAAAGGTCAGCAGGCAATTTCTCTAAGGAGATACCATCTGGCTCCTTAGCACCTTGAGTTGTTGAGTTTCTTGACTTTCTTCAGATATACAAATTATGTGTTTTTTTTTTCTTCTTGATTTGATTTATGTGATACAGATTGTGCTTGAGGACACATCTGGTTTTCTAATGAGTTGTTAAGTCTTCAGATGTTTGAATTGGGTCTCTTGCCTTGATCTACTTTATAGATTGTGCTTTCATTTCTTCCAACTCAATGTTTGATTGTTTGAAGTGAAAATATGTTCCTTCAATTGTTCTCTATTTTCTTGTGATTGCTCAATATGCGTAGCTTGCAAATGCCAAGTTGGAAAACTATTTCTAATCCATGTTAACAGTAATTATTTAAAATGAACATTAGGGCTATAGTCATGAAATGAAGTTTGTATGTGCATTATGCTTTGATATGTTTTACAGAGTGTAAATTGAACATGTTTGCAAACATCATCGGGACAGTTGTGCTCTACATAATTCACCTATGGCATGTTGAGAATCAGTGATGAAAATGTGCTTATGCTTAACTTTACCTAATTTTACTGCATCATATTATTCATCAAGATTAAATTTGTGTTTACATGTGTACAATCAACTTGACCTGGTAGCATTATATTTATGTATTTATCTCTTTATTATGTTTGACATAAAACATTTCTTGTATGTGAAACTTTGATCAGCTCAGGAATTAGAGAGAGATATTCATGGTCCAGCAGGAGATTCTCTTCCAGCAGAGAAAAGACTTGTTGTGTTTGACAAGATTTTTGCAGCATATCATGAAGCCAGAAGCAGTATCCGCAGTGATTTGGTAAGAAAGATACAAGTTGTATTATACTGCTCCTCATCAAATGCCTTCCTGAGTCTCAAATAATTGATACTTCATAACCTTTAGATGGTACCATTGATAGTGCAGAATATGATGCTATTTTCTGCATGACTCTTGAAGCTGATACCAATCTTGTGATTCCTTTAGGTTACTGCGGCTAATTCTGAAAATGTGAAAGATGAGTTAAGTGGCCTTGATAAAGCTATTGGTGCCATTTTAGGGCAACGAACTATTGAACGGAACCAGTTATTGGTTAGCATAGCGAAGAGTAAGTTCAATAAGGTCCGCGATGATAAAAATGAAAAAGTTACGAAGCCTGAAGAGCTTGTGAGGCTGTATGATCTCTTGTTACAGGTAAGGATGGAATTTAATTGCAATTTTTATGTCAATAAGAAATAAGAAATTTGAGAGATGATTTAGGCCATAGTAGTGATAATAATGTGAATATTTTGCAACAAATGTATTAACTGTGTGTTTCTTTTGGCAGAACACTTCTGACCTTTCTGATTTAGTTAGCTCTGGAAGAGATAGAAAACCAGAAGAAGTGGCATTTGCTGAAGAATGTGAATTAAAGAGTATGGTTTTTCGAGCCCAAAGGTATGGCACTCTTGTTATCTCCTTTGTTTTCCAGACCATTTCCTCTCTTCTTCCTCCAATTTTGGTTACCATATTTGACCTATCCAAGCAAAAGCTACACTAATCCACTATAGGGGGGAAAATCCAATCCTTTTAAATTTAGAAATCATTTCTGATGACCTTCTATTGATTTTAGAATGTGAAGAGCTTGTGAGTTTTTGCAGTCATGTCTTTCTTGATCATCTTATGTTTGCCAATCTCTTTTCTTTGTCTGAAATTTACAAAAAAAAAAATATGGTAATTTAATTTTGGAGGCTTAAATTGATTCAGGACAACACCTAACACTATCATGACAGGTGCTTCTACTTAGCCAAATCATACAGTTCTGCTGGAAAGCGGACTGAAGCTTATGCCTTGTTCTCTCAAGCTCGTTCTTTAGCTGATGCCGCACTGAAGAAACTTCACAGCGTGGATATTTCTGACCAGGTGTGCATTGTATACAGTTAAACTGATTTTAATGTTGCTTAAAGTTGATTTTCTTAGATATGTCATTGATGTAGCAGAAACCTAATGCTACTTGCTCATTGAAATTAAATCAAAGACATTCACCACACGTCTTCTGAAAATGACGTCTGTCTTTAGAGTGAAGGATACTGTTTTAATTAGTGGTGTTCTTGCTGTTGGGCTTCTTTTGAAATTCACTTGTGATTTATTGTATTTTTCCTCCCTTATACCACCAGGTCATAGTCAATGAACTGAAAGTGTTATCCAATGAGAGTAGATCCAACAGTTGTATAGAGCATGCAAGAGGAATTATGGAGGAGGAGAAGGTTCCCGAAAATCTCTCAAAAAAGATATCAGATATTTCATTAAGTGGAAGTGATAAAAAGGTATTCTTGTAGCATTTTTCTCTATAGGTTTTATTGCTTTATATTTCACTTGGAAAGAATTAAAATTCACCATTCATGGATTGAATTGGAAGCACTCTGAACGCTTGTTAACGAGTATACCTGCTAGTTGGATATATGCTATTCTTTTTGTTGCTTTTGCTTTTGCACTTGTGGTATAGTAATTAGGAATGTTTCATGATGAACTAATGTATTTTACTATTGATCTTACACTAATTTTATGGTCGTTTCAGCTAGAGAAATTTCTCATGGAGAAATTGGATTCGTACGAATCTGCTGTTGGTGATTCCAACACAAAAGTGGCACCTCGCATTGAAGTCTTTCCACCTCCCTTCCAAGCAGTACCGCGCAACCCGATTGTCTTGGATCTGGCGTATAATCTCATCGAGTTTCCAGCGCTTGACAGTAGGATGCGAAAAGATAAGAAGGGAGGCTTCATTAGCAGATTTTGGGGTTGAGTTTCCATTTATAATTTGGAATGATATCCAGGATTTCCACCCCCCCCCCCCCCCTCCCCCCCTTTTTTTTAGAACTGCAGTTTGCCATATCATATTTCCAGCGGCTGAATTTTGGATTGATCGCTTGTGACACATGGTTTTTTTATAGGATCAGAAAATTTGAATTTTCTTAACTCATGACAAAGGGAGAGCTTTTATGTTTGAAGGCTATATCATCTTTTATGTTTGAATCTTGGATCTGCAGTTGGCTCAAAACATCACAATTAACTACTCCGTAATATTTAATTGTTACAAAAACAAATATTTAACCTACAAGAGCTTATGTAATTGCAAGTTAATTAATTTTTTTAAAAATATTAATATTGTTATTAATAGAGCTGGATAGAGCCACATATAGTTGTTCGTGTATAAAAACATGTTTCTTCAAATGTAATTCAGAGTAAATTTCAATTTTGGTCCTCTGACTATAGGAGTGCTGTTAATTGCAGCCCACAACTTTCAAAAGTGTTAATTTAGTACCTTGACTATGTAAATTTTATCAATTTTGATCACTCCGGTCAAATTGTCGATCAAATTTCGTCAGAAATTTTTAATTGGTTATATAACGGGGATATTTTAGTAATTTTATCTCTTTTCTTTCTTCTTCCTGGAGAATCCGCATGGATTCGTCGGAGAGCCGGTAGCTACAGACGCATACGGAGAGAAGCAGTTGGTGATGCTCACGCCGGAGGAATCCCATACGCTGGAAAAAACACCAAACAGAAAATCGCCACAAGCCCACCAAGAATTACCACACCATGACACCAGAGTTCTTGATTTCAACAAACCCATTCAACTATTCAAGCCATCAACAAAACAAACACCACCGAAAACTGAGACCACCAACTTTGCAGACACCAAAAATCTTGAACCATAGACCAACCAAAAATGACCGGGAAAAAATTGCGGACGTCGGAGTGTAATGATGGAACAGTGGCCACCGTTCACCAACCCCAACTCAGTCCAAACTCCAAGTCGCCATTTTCTGCTTGAGTCCAATGACCCTCTCTAGTCCGAAGATGGTATTAAATCTCCGATGGCCTCCAGTCCGGCCGTTAATCCTGCCATCAGCGGCAATATGTTCCCCTGCCCTCTACCCACTATGAAAAGGTTGTGCATACTGTTTAAGTGTTTATTGTGAATTCAACGAGGGGCAGAGATGACATGGTGGAGTTGGCACAAACACCTGTCCATATGTAGTAAAGAATCGTGCAGATTCCTGCAAATGCCCAAACTGAACCGACAATTGCGAATGCTAATAAATCCCTCCTAAGCCATTTGGAATGTGGCGGAGGTAGCGGCGGCTCTCGCGGGGGTGAAGATGGTGGGAATGAAGATGGAATGTTTATGTCACAGGGTTTACAGATTTCCCGATCACCGGAACACAAAGATTGGTACGGGGGGGGGGGGGGGGGGGGTGGTAAACGCCGCATTCATCGTAATCACTATTAACGCACGGCCTTCTACGGGAACAAGAAAGAAAAGAGATCTAAAATTACTAAAATACCCCTATTATTTGACCAATTAAAATTTTCCAGCAAAATTTAGACAGTAATTTAGTCGGAGTGATCAAAATTGATAAAAATTACATAGTCAAGGTAGTAAATTAACACTTTTGAAAGTCGTGGACTGCAATTAGCAGAACCCCTATAGTCACAGGACCAAAATTGAAATGTACTCTGTAATTCAACATTAGAATGACTTTGACTTAACTCTTATTTATTGTCATTGCATAAGACAACACTACAAAAATTGTCTCCTTTGGAATTTAAATGGCAACCGAGATTGAAATTTAAATGACAACTGAGGATCTGATGGCGTCAATGTGAATCTTGAGTAGAGCCAATTCCATGTCTCATCTTCCCTGCCAAATCATCCACAACAGGTATTATGCTTCGTCTTCAGGATCTTACTGGCAAATGGGCAACTTTCAGTCAGATAGGCTAAAGCATCACTCACGAAAGTAAGAAACCCCAACAATAGCACATACATTATCACACTGCAATTCCAACTACAGTATAGTCAGAAGTAACGACTGTACTGATAAAGTTCAGAGGATAAGAATATTAGTTCTATACTCTTTTGAAGCCTCAACTATTTCTGATTGTTTGTGCATATGGGTATGTGCTTTATACATACCAAACCAAAAACATGAAGGGAAACTACTATAAATTGGCTGGAAATGTTATTGGAGATCTAACTGAAACTAATATTATACATTTAGGATCAAATTGGAATGACTAGAACATTTCAAGACTAAATCGATAATTACCTTATAAATTTGGGACCACAAAAGGATTTGGGAAGTGGAGGTGTAACCTCTAGACTGCTTCCAAATTCATGAGATCGCTGATCACCATTCCACCTGCCAAGTAAACAAAGGAGCAGGAGGAGAATGAAAAAGTAGTGAAAAACAGAGGAACTCGTATAAATTGCAAGTTGGAAGTTTCCATTAAATTAAGTTGAACAAATATGTTGCGGTTACCTCTCACGAGGTGAATCCCAATGGCAATAGCACTTACCACCTCTCGTTTGGTAGTAAAAATGAACATGAACACAGGGGGGTAAGGTGAAAACCATATCCACCTTTGAATGGAGAAGCAGTAACATAAAAGATTCGCAGCAAAATTATACATTCCTTGTGCTTTTAATGAGCTATTGAGCTAGGCTTGAACCTGGCAGGCAGGTTCTGCTTGCTTCATAGGGTTGATAATACTTTCTGCATTTTCATTTGTCGGGTATTGACTGATCAAGTCACTCAGAGTCGTCGATTTAGGGACCCAAGAAAACCTTACCATAGTTTCCAAAGCTGCAGCTAATTTTTCTGAATATCCCGCTTTATTCAACCCGTGGACTAAAGTGCTGCACATAGTAACACTAGGAACAAACCCTTGCTTTCCAATTTCATTAAGTGATGTCAATAGTTCAGAAATATCCCCATTTTCACACAAGGACTCTACCAATGTCTCATTCACGTGTCCTCTGAATACACCTCTCTCCACTAGTTCATCCCAAAGCTTAAAGGCTTTCTGCAAACTCCCATCTTTGTACAGTGCATTAACCATCGCGCTGTGCACTAATTCATCAGGCTCTATACCCTTAGCCATCATTTCATTGAACAGTGAAAACATCTTTGATCTTTCCCCTATTCTACCATAGGCAAGTATAAGTGACCTATAAGTGGCATTCGTTGGCATCAGATTCTGCCTTAGCATTTCTAGGAGAAGTTCCTCCGCTTCATTCGTCTTGCCCATATTGCACAGGAGATCAATCAAAATGTTGTAAGTTACATGATTAGGTGGGATTTTTTTATCGAGCATGTCGTTCATCAACCCAAGGGCATCATTCAATCTTCCTGATTTGCAAAACCCGTGAATCATCGCATTGAAAGTACTTGTGGATGCGATTCCCTTCTGTACCGTTTCATGAAATATCAATAACGCCCTCTCTGATTCCTCTTCCTTGAAGCATCCATTGATAATCACATCGTACACGAAGGCCTCTGGTTGAATGCCCTTTGATTGCATTTCTTCCAACAAATGAAATGCTTCAGTTAGATTCCCGGATCTGCAGTAACCATCTATAATAGTAGCATATGTCATGCCATTTGGTGCCAAGCCCTTTATAGAGATTCCATCGAACAATTCCCTAGCTCTCAAAATGTTACCCGACTTGCAAAGACCACCTATTAAGGCATTATATGTGGCAATATTTGGAAGAATACCCTTCTCGTACATTTCATCATGAAGTCGAAAAGCCTCTTCCAAATTACCATGCTTGCAGAAACTATAAATTATAGAGGTGTAAGTAAAAACATCAGGTTTTAAACCCCTATCGTAGAGTTCAGAAAAAACCTTCATTGCTTCTGAAAACTTTCCTGCCTTTGAGAGGCCATCTATAAGTACAGTATATAGTTTCACATCGGGGAGGAGCCCTTGTTCAAGCATGCATCTCAACTGTGAAAGTGCTTTTGTTATATTCCCAATTTTACAGTGTCCATCAATCACGTATGTATAGAGTACAACATTAGGTGCTATACCTCGATCTAGCATTTCACAAAAATACTTGTCGGCCATTTGCATTTCACCTTTTTCCTTGTAACCAGAAATAAAAGCCCCAAAAGTGTAGTCATTCGGTCTTAATTTCCTCTTCTCCATTTTAGTTAAACACGTTTGTGCTTCTTCCATTCTTCCTGCTTTGCACAGACCAATAATAATGCAATTATAGCAAAAAACATCGGGTGACATACCTTTCTGCCACATTTCATCCAAGAAATTTTGTGCTTCTTCAAACGTCCCATCCTGAACAAAACTTTTTAAAATATGTGTCAAAATAACAGAATTTGCTCTAATACCCATCCCAATCATTTTCTCCAAAATAAGGATTGCTTGGTGGCGATCTCCAATATGACAAAATCCATTAATCAGGAAACCAAAAGTGTAAGCAGAAGGTACCAACTTTCTCTCATTCATCTCAAACATTATTTCACAAGCCTTTTCCATGTTATTCTGTAGACAGTATCCCTCCAACAAATGATTGTATGACCGAGTCTCGGGGAATATGCCCATTGCAATCATTTCGTCCTTCATATTTGTAGCTTTCTCCATCTCACCAATTTTACAGAGCCCATTCAAGAGAGTATTATAGGTCACAAGGTTCAACTTGATTCCACGTGCAACCATATCATCCTTAATTCTCAATGCTTCTTCTACATCGCCCTCTTTCATGAAACCATGAATCAGTGGAGTATACGAAAAATGATTGGGATTTAGACCCATTTCCCACATTTCCTTCAAAACCAACTTAGCTTCCCGGGACCTCTTCTGCTTGCAGAACCCATCTATGAGTGAGGAATAAGTATAACTATCTGGGGCCAGGCCATTCTCCGCCATAGTCCTCTTCAACTCTACCGCCTCATCAACAAGCCCCGTGCTGCACAACCCTCTGATGACCACATTATAAGTAACCAAATTCGGATTACATCCCTTCTCTCCCATCTCAAAGAGCACGTTTTTGGCATCTCTAACATTCCCAGACTTGCAATAAGCATTTATAACAGCAGTGAAAGTATACACATCTGGAGAAATCATCCTCTCCACCATTCCGTTATACACACTCCAAAACATCTCCATTTTGTTCCTCTTTGTTAATTCATTCAACAATGAGTTACAACACAACAAACTAGGCGAAAACCCAACATCTTTAACACCCAAGAACACTGAAACAGCTTCATCGAACATGCCTTTGTTCCTAAAAGCAATAATTAGCAACTCAAACACTAGGGAACTTGAACTGGACCTATTACATTCTTCGTAGCAACAAAGCAATGAGCTCAAAATATCCGAAACAGGAAATCGACATTCAATCATCTTCTCCAATAAACTACAGGCAGGCGAATTTAAGTTGGAATCACACAATAGCACAGTAAGGATCGCAAAAGAATTGATGGTGGGAGGAATACTCATTTTGCGGGCCGACCAATCAAAGAAGGAAAGCAGGCGTTTAGGGTGGACAACCGACCTGCTTCTGTGAAGCACCGAGTAAACCACATCAGGATTGAGTTTTGACGGCACTGCCGATGAATCTAAGAGTAACTCCCAGCTGTTAAGCCCCAAAATCTTGGAGATATCTTCAGCTGCGACTTCGTTTTCTGTCGCGGTGCAGAGAAAACGCCGCCTTGATCTGAGAGTAACCTTGTTGATTATCAATCGCCCGCTCTTCGATTTACGCACTCCACGAAAGAACAAACTATGCATCATTTTTGTTTCTTACAAATTTCCTTCTTAAATGTGAAATTTTCCAATATGACTATGATCCTAAGGTTTCACCATACCCTCTCTTCTTCTCTCTGGTCTGCACCCACTGCTGACGGAAACATGAGATCAGAAACACTTTATAATGGAGTAGAAGAGTATACTCAGGTCGGGCCGGGTTTCCCTGTGCCCAATTAACACTGATCCTTTAACAAGTAATTCTAGGTCATTACTTTTTTTAGTATCAATTTGATTATCTATAAACAATAATGAGTATTTCCTTAGCACTTTTCTGAATACATTTCCCTAAGAACAATAATGTTAAACGTTTCCTAAACAAGAAATTTTAAAGATAAAAACTTTTTGAACTGCAGAACATTTCTTGAAATGGGGAACCAGAATAAGCCGCAACTTGCAGCATAATCTATGAGAACTGCAAGGAAATGTACAAGTATTCCTTAAAAAACTGAAAATAGTTTATGTAATTCAACTTCCCCCTGCAAACTTTTACAGTTCATTTGCTGTACAAAACAACAATCAACACAAATTTCCCCATTTTAAGCAGTTAACACTAAAGACAATTAACAATAACTGAAAACGAGCAGCACATACAAACAACAAATTTAACCAAAAAGAAGGTTTTTGTTTACAATGAACAAGAACCAGCTATCACAGAGCACTAAGAGCACAGACTGCATATCAAATAACAGTAGCAATACAGATGAGCATTTTTCGGGGGAACGGAAAGGAAGATGAAATACCTTGTTGTTCTCGACAAAATGATGAAATCCAAAATCAGTTGAATGATTAATGTGGTTCGGTTCGGAGATGAATGTTTGCGGGTTAGGGTTTGTGGATTGAAAAAAGTGAGAAGGTGAGATGTAGAGCAGGCTCCAAATGCCTGCAATCATAAACAAATAAACAATTATAAATCATAAAAAAATCAACAATTAAACATTTAAAACCATACTCGTGAGCCTTGTCGTGTTGGATGCCGCCGTCGAGGAGTCCGCCGGTACTGAGGAGATTATCTGGGTTGGAGAAAAGCTTTTCAAGGCTTATGAATGGGAGAGATTTGATTTATTGGTGCTCCCTCCAAGCTTCCCGTATGGAGGAATGGAGAATTCGAGAATGGTGTTCTTGACACCCACTGTAATTAAGGGAGATGCCACCAGAGCTCATGTGGTGGCTCATGAACTTGCTCATAGTTATTTAGCCATCACAGGCCCCAGTTGGACGGATTAATAATAATTAACAACAAAAGTCCAGTCAATGATTATTATATTAATAATAATTATTAATTAGCTAGGGATCGGAACAACTGTTGGGTGGACTTCCTAAAAAAGTTATATATGGCAAATGACATATTTACCCTCCGCTTTTGTCAGCTTAGACAGAAGGAACTAACGAGAGGATGACAACAGGTTAGATTTCGCAACTCGGAGGACCACAGATGGTAATTACAAAAGTTAGGGACTATAGGTGGTGAAACCACCAAACTCGGGGAACTTTGGCTGGTATTTACTCTATGTCTTATTTTATGAATTTATGTCTTATATTATGCAATTATGTACATATATGACATTAATTATTTACATAAATCAAATCTGAGAATAAGTAAAATAGAAAACTTGTGTATGTATCTCATGTTATGCGTTTCTGTGCATTATGTTACGAAATTCTGTACTTTAAGCATAAGAATTTTGTACATGAAATTGACTAGTAGTTGTATAACACAAAAGACATTGTATGTCTTATTTTACGAATTTATGTCTTATATTATGCAATTATGTGCCTATATGACATTAGTTATTTACACAAATCAGATCTGAGAATAAGTAAAATAGAAAACATGTGTATGTATATCGTGTCATGCGTTTCTGTGTATCATGTTATGCATTTCTGTACATTAAGCGCAAGGATTCTGTGCATAGAATAAATTAAAATTTTGTGTTGAAACATGAGAAACGCGAAGTTATGGAATCTGTTAAAACTTACACATCAAACGACGTCGTTTTGATTCAGGGTCCACAATGCTATGTGGACCCTGGTCCACGATATAAATTGCCCAAATTAGTAGTTGTATCTGATGGATAGTATATTGGGCTTGTGCTATACAGACCTGCCCAAGAAAGTAATTGGATCAAGGAAGCCTAAGAAAGATACGCAGTTTGGAGCAACTTAGGAGCTTAACAAGGATTGAAATTATTATTCATAATGTAATAATGATTGGACTCGTTATTCCTAATGTAGTAGGACTAGAGTTTATTATTCATAATGTAACAGTAATTCCCAATATGAGGCAGTCTAGAATTCTTACTTGCAGGGGTCTAGCAACTTAAGAGTTTAATAAGGATTGAACTTATTATTCATCATGTAATAAAGATTGAGATCGTTTTCAAAATAAAAAAATAAAAAAAATTGAGATCATTATTCTAATGTAGCAGGACTAGAGTTTTTTTTTTTTAGTACTATTGACCCGATTACATGTAGTATCCGTTCATATATACTTTCTCAACCTATTGAAGATCAACGAATCAATACCGCCTCCACTGAGGATTGAACCATGACCTCCCACTTGAGAGAGTCACTTCATGTCGCTTGACCACAAGGATTAGAGTTTATTATTCCCAATGTAATAGTAACTCCACGGCAGGAGGATTCTTATTCCTTAAAGGGGTCTAGGCCCAAAATATGTATAAATAGATCCTCATACATGGAAAAAGGGGAAGCAATTTCCACTATTCACAAGCAATAATATTCATCAATACAAAATACATATATTTTCTCTATATTTTTTCTATATACTCGTTATGTTAACAGTGATGTTGGTCAGCCGTTGACTGTCCAAAAGTCATAAAACCAACCGTGTCTTATGTTATAAATTTATGTGTCTTGTATTTTGAAATTCTTTGCCTATGAACACAAATTTTGCACCTAAATCATATTTGAAAAATAAACAAATATATAACATGTGTATGTGTCTTGTGTTGTGATTTGTTGTGTATTATGTTATGAAATTCTCAAATTCTATACCTTACGAGTATGAATTCTCTACTTATTCGTTTTGATTTAGGATCCACAATGTTATGTGAACTATCAGCAATTATATCATGGACCATGGTCCAAAAACGGCGTCGTTTCTTTAAGTAAAGAAACGACTGCCATTACAGCTTAACGGAACCAGTATTTTTGGTGTGTTAATTACAAAATGAAACTGTCTCACATATTATTTTTATATTGTCAAATTAAACTGTAGTGTATATAAAATGAAACTGAATAACAGTTTCACATATTCGAGTGTATATTGTCCAATGAAATTGTAGTTATATTGAAATGATATTGTAGTTGTGTTGTAGTGAAACTATAGTGTATATAAAATGAGAATGAAAAACAGTTTCACATATTTGAGTGTATAATGTCGAATGAAACTGTAATTGTGTTAAAATGAAACTGCAGTTTATATTGTCCAATGAAACTGTTATATCGAAATGATATTGTAGTTGTGTTGTAATGAAATTATAATGTATATAAAATGAAACTGAATAACAGTCTCACATATTTGAGTGTATAATGTCGAATGAAATTGTAATTATATCGAAATGAAACTGTAGTTATATCGAAATGAAATTGTAATTGTGTTGAAATAAAACTGCAGTGTATATAAAATGAAACTGAATATGTTATACAAACAGATCTACTTTGGCTCTGTTTGGCAAACCTAGTTGAAAAGCTATAAGTTAGGAGCTGAAAGCTGAAAAGCTATAAGCTCGGAGCTGAAAACTGAAGAGCTGTTATGATTGAAAGTGTTTGGTAAAATTAGCTTTTTGATAAGCTGATAAATGTAAAATGACTAAAAAGGACATCTTCATAAAATTTAAATTAGTTTGTTTACATATTAAAATTTAACATTTTGTCTTTAAAAAAATTAACATTTTGAAATAAAACTATTAGCATAAACATAATCTAGCATCTCATAATGAAATTGCAATATTGTTGCAAATCTCATAATAATAATAATAATAATAATAATAATAATAATAATAATAATAATAATAATAATAATAATAATATTTGCGATGAAAGTTCCGGATAAAGGAGAAGAAAAAAAATAGTTTTAATTGGGAAGGGTAAATTATGTCATTTCTATAAAATAATAAGGATAAAGATGGAAAAAAAGTTAGGAAGCTAGGAGCTTATTTTGAAACGCTACCTTAGGTAGCGTTCCAAAATAAGCTCTTATTTTAATCTAGGAGCTTATTTTGGGAACATTACCAAACAGAGCTTATAGCTTATTAGTAGCTTAAAATAAGCTATAAGCTCCTAAATAAGCTCTGCCAAACAGAACTTTTATGCGAAACGACACAAACGAATGCTGTTTTTTTCATTAAAAGAAACGGTGTCATTTTGGACCATAGTCCATAATGCTTTGTGATTCGAGGTCCACAATATAATTTACCGTGAACTATAGTCCATGATATAAATTGTCATTACTTGCTAGGCCGTAATATTTTCCTCTTTATTAGAGTGGGCTTGAGAATGTAATGGGCTATTTTTAATCAGCAAGTCCAATTATGTGCAAAACTCTCCAATACAAAAATTCCATATTCAAATCCATATCACCCCACCACTACCGACAATCTTCATATGGGCAAAATTGGTCCAAACAGTGTTATATGGACCATAATAAAAAAATATATTATTTTTGTACTAAATGTATATTATTTTTGTATTGAATGTACATTATATAATATAATGTACACTCACGACAAAAATAATGTACATCTCCTGAATACAATGTACATTATTTTTGTATTGAATGTACATTATTTTACAGTATACAAAATATGGTCCACACAATTTGTGTGAACCATGGTCCACACAATAATGATTGCTTCATATGATACTATGTTATTTGCATTCTTTAATTTCACCAGAGCTTTTAGATACAACACATTGATATTTCCTAGTTCGGATATTATATTGTTGTATGTTTTTTCCCATATGTTCTGATCTTTGAGATAATAGAGTCCTCAATACCCTAAACAAAACAAGTTACGAGAAGCATAAAGGAAAAAATGACTAAAGAATGCGATGTGGTTACAATTTTTTTAATAAAATTGTGTTATTTTGTATTTACGACAATAATTTTATGAAACTGCTATGATACCAGCTGGTTAAAAGATGAGAGCATGTTGAAAGATGGTAGTGTGGAAGCTTAGTGCTAAAAACCATATTTTTAAATTGTTGAGACTTACATTTTTTTTTTTTTATCAATCATTTTATGCCTCTCAAAGAAGTTGTTTAAAAATCAAAGGACTCATTTAATGTTGATGTCGGATAATATCATGCAAAATTTAAATAAACTATTTTTTCCATTCGGGTATAAATTATATTTATGTTATATATTTTATAAGATAAATATTTGTATTTCTTTTAATTGTCTAGATGATTGTTAGAGAGGATAAGTGTTCTAAGATATTATAATGATTTTTTTTGCATCAAATGCCTATGCAATTTAAAAAAAAAAAAAAAAAAATTGTGAGGAATTGAAGATTGGAATGGTTGAGATATGCAACAACAATGTGTGAGTGCTATCATAATTCAGATGTTGTACTTTTTTCTCCAACGTGTAAGGGCTTTCTTTGTAGATTATAGGCTTTTTGACACTTAATTTCCTCAACAACCTAACCAAAATAAATTATTTATAAAAAAAAAACACTAAAGAGAAAAATGACTAAACAATTTCATATTATGTTGACTTTTTGGATGAGTTTTCTTCCTTGAATGTGTCCAAGATTTTGCACCTTAACCCCTAGACGATTGCTTCCTCATGTATGGATATCGTTAATGATAATATCTTTAATGTGTGAACTATTGTACTAAATAATGAAAAGAAAAACTGAGAAAGATCTAGAGATTGAATTTAAGGACTAATAAATTTCAAATATTTTCACCTTGTCTTGTGTTCAACCTTAACTGGAAAAATAATAGCTAAAAATATAAGTTTGAGAGAACCGAATTAAACAAGTCTAAATGAAACAAAGTAGTAGATGTGTGGCTCATTTAGATGCAACTCCATAAGTTTAAAATAGACAATGTGGGTGTTTAGTAAATACATGTTAGCCGATTGGGTTAGTGGATTTGACTAGTTGATAACATTAGTTGATTGTAGAAAGATATTTGCTAAATTAGTTGTTAG